ATTAAAAGTTCTTACTAAATTATTTTGTTTGAAATTTTACAAGAAATTAAAGGGGTTTATAATCTACATATGGAAAATTTTGAACCAATTTGGACGTGTTTTGCATAACTTTTATTACGCAACTTCTATGATTCAAATTTTTGAGTCACTGATCTATATATAAATTGACACGTGATTCCCTAACCTTAATTCCTCCACAACAACATGACATATCAACAAAATGAAGATGTAACTTTGTAGAGAAAGGTTTTAGCTTCAAAGTTACATCTTGTTTTTTGGACATGCATTTCCATTTTTGGAAGAGTTGAAGGATCAGTAAGACCAATAAAAGTTGTAGGGACTAGGTGTCCTGCACTATATTTATTTGAATAAACAAACAATAAATTTGAATTAAGATTGAGTTGGTGTGTAAAATTCGTGTGCACAACCCTCTTAAACTGTGCACAAAGAGACAAAAGTTTTTGTGCAAAAATTTTAAATATAGTACGTAAATTCAATGAAAATTTTGTGCACTATTACATTTTTCTATATATAACACACAGGAAATTTCAAAAAAAAATAAACTACTTATGATGTTTTGTGCATACATCCATAATTTTTAATCAACTTTTGCACAAATCCTCAAAAAAATTTGTGGAACATGTACAAAAATTGATCAGTGAAATTTATACATTGGATTGAGTTATATTATGAATAATTTGAATAAGAATTTGTATTATTCTATTCACAAGTCCTATCCAAAAGAAAAAGGCAAGGTTATTAATATTTTCTAGAGCAGTAGCATCATTACCCATACTTATTTATCATTATAAATATATAGATTATATTCTAGTTAGAACAATAAACCAAGACAAGATTGGTGGTTAACTACAGTGCAGATCATCTATACTCAAAAGTTAAAGTTTGGAATATGGTTGGCTCGGTCTAAAGACCTCCTGTTGCTGCGCCATACGGCCAAATTTCAAAATAGCAAGCAATTTTGTAAATGTATATAATAAAATTTTTCAAAAATATGACTTCACGTGATTTAGTTTTCTTATTGCCAAATTTAGATACGATAGTCAAGTGCTAGTCTAAATTTAGTAATATTTTCCTAAATTTAGAAATGATCATAGTGGACAAATTCCTCGCGAGCATAATAAAGTACATGTTTTAAAAAAGAATAGAACTTTACAACAAATAATTTTTTTGAGAAAATCTCTCTATTACATTAAAACCAAAGACATATTCTATCAACCAATAGAGCTATTTTTTTAAAAGGTAGGACAGAAAGTGACTTCTATACTTTTAAAATTTGCCCAAAATTTAGGAGGTCTCTAGACCAAGCCAACTATACTAAAATATTTGCATGTGGAGGCTTTTCTATAAATGGTAAGACCGGCCTATTTTGTTCCACAAATATTATGAATGCTGAATTTTATGTTGAAATTCTAGAAAACCATATTCCTGAGATTTGAAAACTAATGGGGAGGTGTTGGCAGTTTCAACAGGATAATGACCCTAAAAACACTAGCCGTCTTGCCCAATCATTCATTAGTGAGAATGTCCCAGACATTATGGACTGGCCAGCAAACAGTCCCGACTTAAATCCTATTGAGAATCTCTGGAATATTGTTAAGAGAAATGTTGAAAAGGGAATGCTAAAAATCAGCAGGATTTAAGTCATTTTATGGTTAAAGAATGGAATGCCATTCCAAAAAGCATGTTAATCAATTTAGTAAAATCAATGAATGAAGGTGTGAATTAGTTATAGAGAGTAATGGAGAAAGAATATCATATTAAAAATTTATCAATAAATCTCTCATACTCAAGTTACCAGATGAAGTATTAACCATGTTGATTGCTACAGTGGTTGTTGTGTAATGATCAAATATGTAATTGCCAATAATTTCTTTACACACTGTAAATATACTTTCCATAACAATTTCCATTATCACTTGGACAACCTTTTAAATCATCTTCATTCATACAAATCATAATGTTAATAAACATAGGCTCAGAATAAAAATTTTTCTGTACATCTTATATATTCATCAGAACACAGCTTTGCTGTTTCAAAAAGCTGAACTTCTGTATATTTGTTAATAGACTTTTTATTGACTATTAGTTCTGTATCAAGATATACGTCAACACAAGAGATTAAACTTTTTAATCCATCAATAGTTTCATTTGATTTGAGTTGTTGATTATCTATATTATCATAAAATAAATATTACCAAGTAGAAATTTTAATGTTGGTTTTATCAATTTAGAATGACCATTTATTTTGTTTGGTTTATTTTAAGTATTTTTAAGAAAATCACAAACTATGGTTGAAATGTCTTGTCTATATACCTACACAAATTAGAATCAGAAAATAATTAAGTTTTAAAAATGCGAATCAAGTGTAACCGATGACATTTTTTATTTCGAATCATAGTGTTGGCGGTCACATTCAATAGAGTTTTCCCGGTCCTGTAAATGCTCTGTAATTCCTACCACAAATTTTAATCATCACATGTCATCACATTACGCCTATATACAAAAAATTAAATTTCCTTTTTTGTAGGGTTCTATATATAGGAATTTCCAAGATGATTTTGAGGTTAAAGGATGATATACATGCAAATTTTGTGTAAAATTATCGAGTCACACAATTATGTCATCAGCTGAAGAATTTCCATCAATTAGACCAGGAGGTTCATTATTACTTGCATGGCGCATTAAAGACAAAAATATACTTATTGTAGGTGGTGGTGAAGTGGCAGCAAGTAGAATTGTAAAGGCCTTAGAAGCTGATGCAAAAGTAATTTTAATTTGTCCAGAAAAAGGTTTAAATAAAGAAGTTAGATATCGTATTGAGAACAACCAAATTCATAAATGGATAAACAGAGAATTTCAAAATGACGACTTAGATGAAGAAGGGGGTATTGATATGGTATTATCAGCCATTGATAATCCAGAAAGATCGCGTGAAATTTGTTTGTTATGTAGAGAGAAAAAAATTCCAGTAAATGTTGCTGATGTGCCACCTATGTGTGACTTTTATTTCATGGCAGAGCATCGTGATGGTCCACTTCAGATTTCTGTTTCTACAAATGGGAAAGGTCCTAAAATGGCAACTATGATCCGTAACAAAGTTGCAGAAAATTTACCAAATGGTATTGGAGATACAATTGAGAAAGTTGGTTTGTTAAGGCAAAAACTTCGACAGTACGATTCTGAACATAAATCCTCCAAGAAAAGAATGAATTGGATGTCTAGGATTTGTGAAGAATGGACAATGGAGGAATTGAAGTTGTTGGACGAAAATTTAATTAATTTGTTATTACAATTTTATGAACAAGACCATACACCAACTTATTCATCAATAATTAAACAATTATCAAATAAAGAACAGTTTGATCAGAATTTAAAAAGTGACAAAAAAGGAAAGGTTATTTTAGTGGGGGCAGGACCAGGCGATCCAGATCTTTTAACTTTTAAAGCAAGACAAGCATTACTTGATGCAGATTTAGTTATAACAGATCGTCTTATACCAGAATCTTTATATTCAATGGTTAAATGTGAAGTAAGAATGGCTCCTACAAAAAAATCAGGTGATGGTGATAATGGAGGTGACGGAGATGAAGGGAAAAAATCAAGATCTGCTGAAGCACAAGACCTGCTTCAAAGTTGGTGTTTAAAAGCCTGTAAAGAAGGTAAGATAGTAGTTAGATTGAAAATAGGAGATCCATTCTTATTTAGTCGTGGTGGTGAAGAAGTTTTATTTTTTAAAGAAAATGGATGTGCAGTAGAAGTTATTGCAGGAATTAGTAGTGCATTGTCAGCTCCTATGGCAGCAAATGTTCCAGTCACCTACAGAGGTTTATCAAACCAAGTAACTATAATGACTGGACAAGCAGCTCAAGGAAAATTACCAGAAGTACCTAATTACAATCCAATGTGTACACTTATTGCTTTAATGGCAGTTGGTAAAGCTGAAGAGTTGTCTAAAGAATTATTGAATAAAGGATATCCAAAATATTTATCAGCCGTTTTTGTTGAAAATGCTGATCGACCAAATCAACGAATTATTTATGCAACAGTTGAAAGTTTGGGAAAAATTGTAGAAAAAGAAAATGTCATTTCACCATCCACTCTAATTATTGGTAGAGTTGTCAATGCTATTATTAAAAACGTAAATGAAGAAAATGATAATGTATCATCACCTACCATCACCTAGATTTGAAAAAAAAATTCTTATAAATAAGTAAATACAAATACAACAATAGTAATATTATATAATTCACAAAAAGTTATGTGTCAAAGTACAAAGGTCTTTAATTTTATATTATTAAAAATCTACATCAAATGCCAAAATTGCTAAATTTTTTTGTGATAAGAGTGGCCCTTGATATATGTTTTTATAAAAATTTCTTGTATTTTTAACATCAATGATTTTTTAGGCAAATTATGATATAAATACATTATATAAATAAAAATTTATTTATTAAAATTTATTTTTTCAAAGTGAAAAAAGTAAATTATAATTATATACAAGTTTAATATAAATTGTATATTTTTATAATAAAGCATGTTGGGCATATATTATAGTTCTAATCTTATAATAATCTTTTGATAGCGAACCTTCAAGGATTAGTCAACATATTGAAGTCTATATATATTATATTCAATTCAATATAAAAAAATTAAGCCTTAATAAAAAAAAATTAAAAAGAAGACCCCATATATAATTGATACTGACTGACCTTTTTAATGGTAACTTTTTCATTACAAACTAACACACCTTCACCTTTAAATTCGGCTGTGATACCTTCAGATTGTAATAAACATTTTAATTCTGATAACTTCACTTCACCTACAAATATAGGATTATTATTACTAGTGTTTTCTTCTATTGGTATTGCACCTAATATAGGGAGAGAATAGTCTTGTGGGAATGAAATTTTTCCCATTATGAATAATATAAATAATATTAATAACCAATTAAAATTTTATCAAGGAAAAAATTTATATCTAATTATATATGGATTTGTTTCACCTTTGAAAAATTTAATAAACTGACTAATGCATCAGTCAGTTTGACTTGATAGAAATTTATGCAGCTGAAACATTCAAAGTTTCTCCAACATTTAGTGTATAAATGTTTTTAGTCATTGATTCCAGAGCTAAACAGCTTTGAGCAAAATCTTTTGTTGCTCTTGTGATGCATGTACGACAATCTATAAATATATGTATACATATAAATTTATTTATATTAATAAAAATATTAATAATAACCATAGCCATAACTATTTATGAATAAAAGAGCAAGAAGTTTAAAAAACAATATTTTATTACTAATTTTCTAGGTTGTACTTGCAGTACTATGGTTTTCAATGATCTTCTGTCATTAGTTCCTTCCAAGTATATAAATTGTATTTGACATTTGAATGTAACATCTTCATTATATGATACATATTTTGTTGGAACATTAGAATCCAAAGAAGAATGATTACTATCTTTATCAAGCTTGTATTATAATACAATATTAATTAAAGTTTAAAATTGTTCTTGGGAAACAAAAAGTAACTACCTCCTCTCTATCACCACCACCCATATCCTCTCTATCACCAATTGGTTCAACACCGATTCCATCATTACCAATTGATCCATCAATTCTTTTAAACATATCAGGCGGGATAATTTCACCATAGTCATCATCATATCTTTTCCTTTTTTCAATATATGGATACATCAAATAACTTTGCAATTGTTTGAAAAAACCACCATACTTTGTTACATCACGAACATAAAGGTCAAATTGTTTTGCCAATAATTCTTCCATGTCTGCATCTCCTGCTTCTGACTTTTCATCATCTGCCTCATCTTCTTCAATTATTGACAAAGATTTAGCAACGAGTGCTGGTTGTGCTGCCTCTCTTTCCTGCTTCTTGCATTGCATTGCTTTATATTCTAAAAGTTCCACCCCTTCTAAAGGAACCTTTTTATTAATCTTGATAAATAAATAAACATGTATTTGTGTGAGATTATTTAATAAATACAAAATTTTTTAAGGCAGTCAGTCCATTTGGACAATAGATAATAAAGTAAATTTATCATCAAGTTGATAGTTAAATCCAAATAAGTTGCTTATTTAACAATTACTTGACTTAGTTGACTATTACAATCCCATTCATAATATAATGTTCTTGCCAAAGAATTTGGTGGTCCATGATCAGTTAAAATGAGAGTATTTATATGTGATTTTGATATTTCAAATAAAAATTCACAGGAGAATCCTGTTTCTAAACTAACATTACTTGCAAGTACTACCTTTGGTCTTGTATGCTTTGCAAAATCTTTATATCTATGGTATAATTTTAGATATCTACACAAATTGTTTAAAAAAAATATATTTTTTGTTATAATTCAATATATAAGGAATAAGTTAATACCTAAATTCAAAAGGGTTTTCCCTTTTTGTATCAAAATGTCTTTTGATGGCATCACCCATCCATTCTAGCTAAGGTTGTGGGCGAAACCTCTTAATGACTGTTGAAACTCTGTCAAAACTCTAAGAACAATTAATGTGTAACCTGTCAAAACTATGATGATTGGTGAAAACCCCAAATGCGAAAATCTGCCGAAACTCTAATAAACAATTAATGTGCAACCTGCTGAAACTCTGTCAATTGATTTCTGGAGGAGTTTCTCCCGCAACCTTAACCTGGTTACAAAAATAGTAATATAAATTGTTCATATTAGTAACAAAGGTTTCATCCTTTAAATGATTCTATAAGATTAAAAGGCTTTTAACGTTACATGTGATTGATGAATTGATGTGCATATCTGATATCGGGATTAATATTCGTATTGTTATAAATAGAATTTTCATTAATGGACCGATGCAATGTGTCTAATGTTCTCTATAATGAATAATATACATATAATTAATTTTAGTATTGAATTTAAATTTTTTGAAGATTAGACACTTACACAGTTTTGGAAATGATCCAGATATTGTTCAACCTCCGCATCAATATCTATAATGAACTTATTAAACCAACGTTCTTTTTTATCGTCGAAAAAAATCTTTTCAAAATCATCATTTTCCAATTGTCTTTGAATGTAAGGAATCAACAATGGTGGAAGATGTTTGGAACATAATATATTATTGAAGTTCATCACTCCTATTTGTAATGGTCTATTTTAAAAAATAAAATTCATGAAAATTGAAAATTAAAAATTTATATTAGGAAAAAAAAAAAAAAAAGGAAAGCTGTCTCATGTTTGTATATTTTTCGTGTTCTCTTGAAATGAGATACAAACATTTTGCCATTCCCATTTACAACCTATCAAAGGAATTAATTGTAAACCCAGAAATAGTTCCTTTGGTAAGTCATGCTGAATATATTTATATGTTCTTCTTTTTTTGTTGTAGATCCCTCCGAATGTGCTTCTTTTTCCACGATGTTTTCCTTATTATTATTGTACTCTTGATTTTCGTAAAATTCTATACCTTCAACTTCACTATTGTTACTCCTAATCGAATAAATATAAAATCAAATTGATTATTATTATTTTCTTTGTATTTTTAAAAAAAAGCTTTATTCTATTCATCTTATCATAATAACTAGAGTGACAACGAGTGGCGGGCGATAACCACCACCACCATCCTTCTTAAAACACTTACCCCTTCTTTGCACCATACTTATTATTATTGCTTCTTTTGTGATTTCCTGAAGACATTTTTTAAAAAAAAATTTTAAAAAGTTTTGTGATACGATTGACACACACGCGCACACTAATTATTTATCCTTGGTAGGACAGACGTGAATTGATTTTTTTTTTCTTTCTTGGAAAAACAATTTATTTTTTGACAGAGTCCAAGGTGACAAAACGTGAGTGTTGTTGTTTGGTTTGGTTTGGTCTCCTAAAGAAAAGGTGTTAATAACTAACAGAGGTACTATTTTTTATTTGTATTGATATAGTATAGTATCTTTTTGGCTTATAAATATTTTAGTTGGAAATCAAAACGCAGAGCAGATCTTGCTGGGTAATTACAGGATTTTCATTGTTAATATTTTGTTTTTCATGATCATTAATAATAATATTATAAATATTATAATTACAAGATGTCAAGGCAGCACACCGTTTAAAAAGAGACATTTTGAGTATGTGATGTTTGATTACAGGAAAATAATAGGCGTGAAGCACATGCACTACCTTGAACACTTTACAGTCATTCTCTCATGTTCCTCATGTACATAAGGCTAATCTGACTTGCGCCTGATGATACAATGATGCACTGAATTCCAGGGAGGGGGAAAGATGTCCTGGAGTTTACCAAGACTGCATCAATCATCAATGACACTTTCACTAATCTTCCCAGACCAGAGATGGCTGCTGGCATGCTGGCCAAAAAGTTGCCTGCAACAATCCTACCTCCAGGCAAGGATGGCACTGTGACCAAGTTGCAACTCTGCTGATGAATATTAAGAGAATTTACAGCTTGTTTCAAGCACAGGAGGTCACAATTCAGAGCAGGGTTGGTGACCCTGAAATTGCATTTGGAGTCTGATGTTAAGAGAGAAGTTGTAAAATAGTGTTTGTTTTGTATAATCATTTTCTTAAACACTCTGTTTCTCTGATATTAACTAACAAATTTATAATTTTGGGTAGGGGTTTTTGCCCAATCAGTTCTATGCCCTGTAGGTTAAAATTATTGCATGATTATATACATCCTTGTCAGCAATATGGCTGACAAGAAAAAAGTTATAAAATGGTTCGAATTTTGTTTGGTATGTTTTGTTATAAATTAATCATTTTCCCAAATTTTCTGCTTCTCTTTAATTTTTATCTGACCAA